ACAAGTTAAACGTGTAAAATTCAAGTTAAACGTGTTTTGATTGATCCAGGTAGCTCGGCGAATATTATTCGATCAAGGGTCGTAGAGCAACTCGGCCTCCAAGATCAAATGGTGCCCGCAGCTTGGGTACTTAACGACTTCAACCTGGAAAGTGAAACCACCAAAGGGGAAATCATTCCGCCAGTAAATGTGGTCGGGACCATCCAACAAACAAAGTTCCACGTGATGGAAGGCGACATGAGGTACAACGCACTGCTTGGAAGGCCTCGGATTCATAATATGAAAGCAGTACCCTTGACGCTTCATCAAGTCTTGAAATTCCCAACATCACAGGGAATGAAACCGGTGTACGGTGAACAACCCGCCGCCAAAGAAATATTTTCAATTGATGAGGTAATACTAGTATCGGCGTTGTCATCAACAAAGGGATCGGAGTCGAAGGGAAAGCAAGAAGTCAAATAGCAACCACAGTCACCGGCCTCGGCCCGATCGAAGAAGCAGGAAATTTTTGAGGATGATGATTACATGATACCTCGAACCTTCATAATCCCCGATGATTCCGATGAAATGAAGTCGACGATCAAAGAGCTGGAACAAATCATACTGATCGAGCATCTGCCTGATTGAAAGGTATACCTGGGCACGGGGTTAACTCCAGAGCTCAGGAAAAAACTCATCAATTCCTTTTAAATAACATTGATTATTTTGATCGACGCTTCGACTGAGTTTGGACTCGAAGTTTTGCCCGGTGAAACAAAAGAGAAGACCTCAATCCAAGGTAAAACATGCATTCATTAAGGACGAGGTAACAAAACTTCTCAATATATGATCCATTCGGGAGGTAAAATGTCCTAAATGGTTAGCAAATGTAGTTGTAGTCCCTATAAAGGGAAATAAACTTAGACTGTGCGTAGACTATAAGGATTTAAACAAGGCATGCCCTAAAGATTCTTTTCCTTTGCCGAATATCAATTGCATGATCGATGCCACGGCCATCCACGAGATCCTTAGTTTTCTCGATGCCTACTACGGATACAATCAAATACAAATAAACCCGGGGGATCAGGAAAAGACTTCGTTTATCACTAAATACGGCACCTATTGTTATAGTGTTATACCGTTCGGACTAAAAAATGCTGGTGCTACTTATCAACGCCTAGTAAATCAAATGTTCGAAGAACAAATAGGTAAATCAATGGTGGTTTATATTGATGATATGCTAGTTAAGTCCCTGCGAGCAGAGGACCATTTGAAACATTTGTAGGAGACGATCGACATACTGCGAAAATAAACATGGAGCTCAACCCGGAGAAATGCGCATTCGAGGTCGGTTCGGGCAAGTTCCATGGCTTTATTGTATCAAATCGGGGAATCGAAATCAACCCCGATAAAATCAAGGCAATCGAAGACAATGGAGCTGTTGATAGTGTCAAGGTTGTACAAAGGTTAACAGGACGCATAGCCGCCCTGGGTCGATTTATTTCGAGATCCTCAGATAGGAGCCACCGGTTCTTCTCACTGCCTAAGAAAAAGAGCAGTATCGCATGGACCCCAGAATGTCAACAGGCCTTGGAGGAACTCAAACGATATTGTCGAGCCCGCCATTGCTTCACACCCCACTTATACTTAGTAGTCTCAGAGATAGCGGTAAGTGGGGTCTTAGTTTGAGAAGAGCAAGGTACGTCAATTTCCTATTGATTATGTTAGTCGGACTCTAGGTGAAGCCGAGACCCGATACCCACACTTAGAAAAATTAGAGCTTGCTTTAATAAGAGCCTCTGGGAAATTAAAACCATGTTTTCAATGTCACCCAATTTGTGTTATAACCACCTACCCCCTTCGTAACTATTTGCACAAGCCTGAACTCTCGGGTCGATTGGCCAAATGGGCCGTCGAGATCAGTGGGTACGATATCAAGTATCAACCCCGAACGGCCATCAAGTCTCAAATCTCGGCAGACTTCGTGGCCGAATTCACGCTAGCCCTCGTACCCGAGGTCAAAAAAGAGCTATTATTAAAATTGGGTACATCATCGGGGGTTTGGACCCTCTTCACAGACTGCGCTTCGAACGCGAAGGGGTGCGGAGGTCATCGAAGCCAAGTGCGACTCCCAACTTGTGGTAAATCAAGTCAACAGAACTTTTGAGGTTCGAGAAGATCGAATGCAGAGGTACTTAGTCAAACTACAAGTGTTTTTACATCGGTTCAAAGAATGGACACCACAAAACGTACCTCGAGAATAACATAGCGAGGCCGATGCCCTTGAAAATTTGTGGTCGTCGATCAAAGATGATGAACTTAGCTCAGGGACTATCGTACAATTTTCAAGGTCAGTAATCGAAGAAGGACATGCCGAAATAAACTCCACAAGTTTAACCTGGGATTGGAGGAATAAGTACATCGAATACCTAAAGAATGGGAAGCTTCCATCGGATCCTAAATAATCGAGGACCCTATGCGCGAAGGCCGCACGGTTCACATTGGCCGAGGATGGAACACTGTATAGAAGAACGTTCGATGGACCGTTGGTGAAATGTTCGGGTCCAGGAGACACCGACTATATTCTATGGAAAATTCATGAGGGCACTTGCGAAAATCATTCTGGTGCTGAGTTATTGGTACACAAAGTCATCAGAACGGGATACAATTGAGTCTATATGGAAAAGACACTACAGAATTTGTTCGAAAGTGCGACAAATGTTAAAGGTATGCGCCGATGATCCACCAACCCAGAGATAAACTCCACTCAGTCCTATCCCCATAGTCGTTCATGAAATAAGGGATGGATATCGTTGGTCCTCTACCATCGGCCCCAGGTAAAGCTAAATTCATTTTGTATATGACTGAGTATTTCTCTAAATGGGTTGAAGCACGGGCCTTCCAAAAAGTCAGAGAAAAAGAAGTCATAGACTTCATCTGGGACCACATTATATGTCGATTCGGAATGCCTGCCGAAATCGTATACGACAATGGAAAGCAATTCGTCGGCAACAAAGTGATAAAGTTTTTCGAAGGCCACAAAATAAAAAGGATCTTATCAACGCCGTATCATCCTAGTGGGAACGGACATGCCGAATCAACAAACAAGACCATTGTCCAAAATTTAAACAAAAGATTGAAAGAAGCTAAAGTAAAATGGAGGGAAATATTACCCGACGTCCTTTGGGCGTATCGACCAACGTCGAAATCATGTACGGGGGCAACACCATTCTCTTTAGTCTACGGTGTCGAAGCTTTGATCCCGGTCGAAGTCGGAGAACCTATCTTCAGGTTTCAGTCTGAAACGGAAGAGTCAAACCACGAGGTTATGAATACGAGCCTCGAATTTCTAGATGAAAGACGGGAAGCTGCATTCGTTCGAATGGCCGCGCAGAAACAGCAGATCGAAAGGTATTACAACCGAAGAGCCAATCTACGACACTTTAAAATCGGGGACTTAGTTCTGAGAAATCTCACCATTATTACTCGAGACCCAAATGAAAGAAAACTTGGCCCGAACTGGGAAGGACTGTATCAGGTCCTCAATATCGTCAGAAAAGGATCCTACAAACTTGGCACGATGGACGGCGAGCAACTACAAAACAATTGGAACATACCACTCCTCAAATGATATTACTGCTAAGGTAAGACCTTCACCATTTTCATTTATATTTTATACTAACTAATTGAAGGCGTTCGACCGAAGATATCGAAGGATCCTTCATCACAAAGTCCTTAGGTCTGAAAGCACACATTGCACTCTTTTTCCCTTAGACCGGTTTTTGTCCCAAATGAGTTTTCCCGGCGAGGTTTTTAATGAGGCAACTATTGTTCGTGCTAACTTAGAGCAACCCAACAGTATCCAAGGCTTCTTTACAATCAAACTTGAATACTAGGGGGCATCACCCTCGAATATTAACTTTGTTACAAGGAAGGTACTTCATGTCAACAAGGTCTCGATAGGTAAAACTTTGTAAGGGCCAAATGGTCAAACAAGCCGTGTCCATGTAGATTACTCGAGCCCTAAAGACAAATATGTACGCACATATAATCTATTGAGAGAAGTATTTTTCCTTGCCAAATATTTCATGCCTTAGAGAAAATTTAACTTTACAATTTGTTACTTTTGGTCTGTTGTGGAAACAGGCTTAAAGGCCGATCACAACTGAAGTTCAAACAACTTACCCCGTACTCGGGGACTACCGTCCGAAAAATCGATGTAATCAAACTACTAAAATCTCGAGATCATAAGACCTTAAAAAGGAAAGCCTCATTTTTATAGGCCACGACAACCCACTCGAGGACTGACACTTCGAACAAGTTTGAAGCATAACCGGGAAACAAGCCCAAGAGGCAAATCCCAAGTCAAAGGCTACAGCCAAACCAACATGGCTCGGAGACGTCCGAATTCCATAATAAAATAGGCCTTCAAATATTTCCATAAAACCTGTTTAAAGGGCTACCCTCGATACATTTACAAAGGGTTTCGATCATATCAACACTCGAAAACCCTAAGGGGTACCGAATTGTTCGAACTACTGAACAAGCTTATTTCACGATAAGGCGTAACAAAGCAAAGGGTTTCGATAGCACTAACCCTCGAAAACCCTAATAGGTACAAGTTTATCTCATGCTAAGGCATAACAAATTTTTATATGATTAACTTTTTAAGCCAAAAAGGGAGAAAGGCTATTCTTTTTAAGGCCATATCGGCCAAATTCAAGAGCCCAAGGGCCATTATATTTTTTGAGTTTGAGAAGTCATCCTCACTCAACTAAAACCTAAGGGTCATCCTACTTCGAGTTCGAGCAAGTACACACTAGATTACAAAGACCGATTTCAACCAAATTGCCTAAGCTTTGTACTCATGAACAAGGCATGGACGAAACAGAATTTTCACACGGCAGAAAATGAAATAAAGACAAGTCAGAAAGCAAAGAGATATTTTATATATATGAAAATATTTACAAGGACCGATCAGGTACCTACACAAAAATTCAAAAAAGAAAAAGCCTAAGTGCCTAATTTTCCTCGGGAGCTACATCCTTGCCATTGGGATCTCCTCCGCTCTCGGATCCACTCACGCTCCTAGAATCATCATCATCATCAGAAGAGAGCAACGCTTTGGCTTCAACCTCAAGCTCTTTCGCATTCTCGATCTCGATAGCAAGGATAAACCCACGAGCATAAATCTCCTCAAGAGTCTCTCTTAGAGACTGGAATTTGGCATGTTCGACAACCCAGTATGCTCGAGCCTGAGCACATCGGAAACTTCTTTTGCTCGAGCTTGAGCGGCCTCGGCTTCAGATAGGTAGACAACCGCGGTCGCCTCAGCATCGACCTTAACCGTCTCAACCTCAGATTTCGCCGATGTAATCTCCGTGTCCAACCGAGCATGTAGCTCCTCAATTTTCTTGGCTTGTTCCAAGCTCTTCTCTTTCATGCCTTGGAGTTGTCTTTCGGTTGAGGATAACTGAGCTCGAGCTGCCTCTTTCTCCGAGGCAAGGCGATCCATCTTTTGCTTCCACATTGAAGTCTCCGCCTTCACCTTATCTACCTCTCCTCGGAGTTGCACTATCATTTCATGCAGTTGCTGGACCTGTGAGATCGAATCATTAGCCATCACTCCCAAATTGAGGACATAAGCGTCTAAGACTTTATTTACCTGCTCGGTCAGTTCCCTTTGTTCTTTCTGGGCCACGGCAAACTCAGCTCGGAGACCTTTGATCTCTTTTTCTTTTTTCTCACCATGAAGCTTGAGAGCATTTTCCTCCTTGGTAAGCCCTCGAATTTCAGCTTCATATCGGCTCAACTCTTTTCAAGACTTGAAGAAAGCCTCATGATGAAGTACCGAGGCCTACACAAATAGAAGGGAAAGAATTAGCCAAGGAGAGAAAAACACAAGTATAAAGACCGGCGTCAACAGAAAAAGTTAGGGTTTACCTTATCAAAGCTTGCTGGGCTTCGTTGAAGAGGCATGGTGCTCCCACCTCGTTCATCAGAGCTTGATCCTCCTCAGTTACCAGATCTTGAAGGCAACCGGCCACCCCTGCGAGGGCGACAAAAACTCGTGCATCCTCTGGGACCGTAATAATGATGGTCCGTTTGCATTCGGGATCGACACTGGGGTTGGGAACTGGCTGGTCAATGTGAAACTCGAAGAAGATTCGCCCAAGATCCTCCTTGGTATGTCCAATTCTCCAAACCTCACCGACTTAGAAGCCTTTGGGGCCTCGGTGTTCCTTTTCACTCGGTCCATCAGCACGGATCCGTCGTCCTCGTTTTCTTCTTCTTCCTCTCTTAGACACTGAACTACCTCCGCAAACAGGATGACAGTGTCTTTCTTCGACTTACGAGCCTTCTTTTCTTGGGCTTTGGGTCCTCGGAGGTCGAGACCCTTTTTCTCTTCTTATCCTTCACCGGTGTCGGAGCCGAGGGCGACACCTCTTCCTCCCCCAAGGGGGCCTCATGACAGCATTTTCTTCGAGGACTGTACGAAAGGAAATCAAGTGAGTATGAAAAGAAACATTTCAGCGAAGATCATCAAATAGGTGAAAATGGGCTTACCATGATTTTTGGCCTCCTATCGGTCCCTTGCCAAATCACGCCATGAGCGCTCAGCATATAAAGAGGTCGAAGCCAGGTTTCGAACCTAGCTCTCGAGGTTAGGAATTGCACCGGGCATCCAAGAGATCGCTACATCATAGAAAGGGATGTTGATGAGAAAAAGCAAAGGAAACGAAACTGATAAATGGAGGCTATAGGTGGGATTGTATTTACGCTTCATATTCCATTTCTAGGGAAATGGCATGTTCTCGGCCGGGATTAGGTCGGAAGTTTTCACTCAAAGGAACGGGCCCATCCATCCTCGATCCTCGTCCTCAAATATGCTCGAGAACATCACCTTAGTAGCCCGGCGCCGAAGTATTATTAACTGTCACGACCCGGATTTCCCACCATCGGGAGTCGTGATGGCACCTACTGTTGGAGCTAGACAAGCCAAACATTTAAACATTTTCGGATAACAACATAACAATAATAAAATAACGAGTCTTTAAATAAATGCAGAAGTATTTTAAAACATAAATAACTTAAAACCGAAAATGCGGAAGTTTAACATTTCTCTACCCAAGACTAGAGTCGCTGTCTCACGAACCACTAAAGAGTGCTACAAACAAGTCTGAATAGAAAAATACATAATGTCTGTCTCGGTACAATGAAAAACAAACAGAAAATATGGAAAGGGACTTCGGCCTGCGAACGCCAAATAGGCTGCCTCGTAAGTCCCTGGACTGAAGAGGGCTCCGATCAACTACTGCTGTGGTCCAAGAGCTGCTCCGGTACCGTAATCTGTGCAAAAAGCACAGAAGTGTAGCATCAGCACACTTTAACTCCTTCAACTCCTTCAACTCCGACGGGGCCATGCGATACGGCGGAATGGAAATGGGCTGAGTGCCCGGATCCAGGTCAATACAAAAATCAATATCCCTGTCGGGCGGCATAACCGGCAGGTCTGAAGGGAAAACCTTGGGGAACTCCCGAACAATAGGGACAGAATCAATAGAAGGGACCTCTGTGCTGGAATCACGAACATACGCCAGATTAGCTAAACACCCCTTCTCGAGCATGCGTCGAGCCTTCACATATGAGATAACACTGCGGGTGGCATGACCTGGGGTCCCTCTCCACTCCAATCGGGGTAAATCTGGCAAAGCCAAGGTCATGGTCTTGGCGTGACAATCCAAGATAGCATGATACGGGGACAACCAATCCATCCCTAATATAACGTCGAAATCCACCATGTCTAAGAGCAATAAATCAACACGGGTCTCAAGACCCTCAAACACTACCACACAAGAACGATGAACTCGGTCGACCACTATAGAATCACCCACCGGTGTAGATACTTAAACAGGAATACCCAAAGCATCACTAGGCATAGCCAGGTAGGGTGCAAAATAGGACGACACATATGAATACGTAGACCCAGGGTCAAATAGCACTAAAGCATCCCTATCACGGACCAGAATGGTACCTGTAATAACCGCATCTGACGACTCAGCCTCTGGCCTGGCTGGCAAAGCATAACACCGGGGCCGGGCCCCACCTCCCTGATCCATGTCTCTGGGACGATCGGCTACTGGTTGGCCCCTACCTCTGCCGGTCCGAGCTCCACCTCTACGGTCTCTACCTCCACCTCTATGATCTCTACCCCCGCCTCTAGCTGGCTGGGCAAGCTGTAGATCACCTGGTGCCTGAATCATGGGGCGAGGACCCTGCTGCTGAGAACTACCCGAGGCTCGAGGGCAAAATCTGACAATGTGGCTCGGGTCACCATAACCATAACAAGCCCTCGGTTGTTGAGACTGCTGGCCCTGTAAATTGGAATGTCCTCCCCGGAAGCTCTGAAGTGGAGGTGCACTGATGGGCTGCTGATCAGAATAATGCTGCTGAGAACCACCACCGCCTGGAGTACCATGAGAAACCTGGAGTGCTGACTGAAAGGGTCTCGGTGGATGGCCTCTACCATAAGAATCCCTACCTCCAGACGAGGTACCACTGAACCTACCAGAATGGCGAGGCCTCTTATCCGACACCTGAACACCTCCCCGTGCAAGGGTCATCTCAACTCTGAGGGCCGCATTGGCCGCCTCCTGAAAGGAAATCTCACTACCAGCTCCCATGGCCATCTGGAGACGGATCGGCTGAATCAATCCATCAATGAACCTCCGCACCCTCTCTCGTTCTGTGGGGAGTATAACGGTATCATGGCGTGCCAAATCAATGAATCGAGTCTCATACTGTGTAACTGTCATGGAGCCCTGTTGGAGGCGCTCGAACTGCCTGCGTAGTGCCTCCCGCTGAGTAACTGGGAGAAACTTCTCCAAAAACAACTCCGCGAACTGATCCCATGTCAATGCTGGAGACCCTGCTGGTCTAGATAGGCAATAGTCCCTCCACCATGTCCTGGCGGATCCTGCAAGCCGGAAGGTGGCAAAATCGACCCCATTGGTCTCCACAATACCCATGGTCCTAAGGATCTCATGGCAGCTGAATAAGAAATCCTGGGGATCCTCTGATGAAGCACCGCTGAATGTGGTGGTGAAGAGCTTGGAGAACCTATCAAGCCTCCACAAAGCATCTGAGGACATAGCCGCTCCATCGCCGGTCTGAGTCACAATACCCGGCTGAACTGCCACAGCTGGCTGAACCACTGGAACCTGTGCCTGGGGAGCTACCTGCTCTAGAGTATGTGTAGCAGGAGTCTGAACCCCTCCTCCAGCCTGAGAAGTGGCTGGTGCTACTGGAAGCAAACCCGCTCTAGTAATGCTCTCCATAAAGCCTGCCAATCTGACTAAAGCGTCCTGAAGAACTGGGGTGGCTATGAACCCCTCTGGGACCTGAGCTGGGCCCACCGGAGCTGCTAGGGCTGGAACCTCCTCATCATAATCAACATGAGGCTCCACCTCTGGGACTGCTGCTCGAGGCTGAGCTCTGCCCCGGCCTCGGCCTCTGCCCCTCGTAGGAGCAGCTACTGGGGGCTCGGGCTGCTGCGCGGTAGAAGAGGAAGCACGTGTTCTCGCCATCTGCGAAAGAACAGAGTAGAACGACAATCAGTATTTGAGAAACAGAATCGCGCGACAAGAAAGAACAAAAGTGAAGTTTTTCCTAACTCCGTAGCCTCCGGGGGATAAATACAGACGTCTCCGTACCGATCCCTCAGACTCTACCAAGTTTGTCCGTGAGTAGCGAGACCTATGTAACCTAGAGCTCTGATACCAACTAGTCACGACCCGGATTTCCCACCATCGGGAGTCGTGATGGCGCCTACTGTTGGAGCTAGGCAAGCCAAACATTTAAACATTTTCGGATAACAACATAACAATAATAAAATAACGAGTCTTTAAATAAATGTGGAAGTCTTTTAAAACATAAATAACTAAAAACCCAAAATGCGGAAGTTTAATATTTCTCTACCCAAGACTGGAGTCGCTGTCTCACGAACCACTAAAGAGTGCTACAAACAAGTCTAAATAAAAAAAATACATAATGTCTGTCTCGGTACAATGAAAACAAACAGAAAATATGGAAAGGGACTTCGGCCTGCGAACGCCAGCTAGGCTACCTCGTAAGTCCCTGGACTGAAGAGGGCTCCCGATCAACTACTGCTGTGGTCCAAGAGCTGCTCCGGTACCGTAATCTGTGCAAAAAGCACAGAAGTGTAGCATCAGCACAACCGACCCCATGTGCTGGCAAGTGCCTGGCCTAACCCCGGCGAAGTAGTGACGAGGCTAGACACGACTACAAAGTCAACCTGTGCAGTTCAATATATATATATATATATATATATATATATATATATATATATATATATGCAATAAAGGAAAGAATACCGAAGTTAAACAGTTAACTAGGGAGGGAAGCATGCTATGGGGAAGTACAAACCGGATATAAAGTCATCAACTTAAGTAAGAAACAGGGCAATGACAATAATTAACAAAAACAGGAGAATCAACAATTGCACGGCATCAACCTTCGTGCTTTTAGTCTCATTCTCACCAAAAACAATCAAATAGAATGCACGGCATCACCCTTCGTGCTTTTCCTCACATAACTCTCATTTCATGGCACGGAATAATCCTTCGTGCAATTATAGTCAAATCAGAGCACGGAATGTCCCTTCGTGCATAAATAATCAAAACATGGCACGGAATGACCCTTCGTGCAAATATAATCAAACATAGCACGGAATGACCCTTCGTGCAAATATAATCAAACATAGCACGGAATGACCCTTCGTGCATTATTACTCTTCCTCACCCAAACAACAATCACAACCAAACGGGCGAGGGAATAAACAGATAATAAGAAATGTCCCGGCAAGGGAAAACACAATTGAGCAACTAAATCCCGGCAAGGGAGTAACAACAACAACTTTCACATCCCGGCAAGGGAGATAATCAATATACTAAAACCATCCCGACAAGGGATTAATCATATCTCTTTCCATTTCTTTCGTTTCTTAGTCAATAGTATTTTTATTGTTCGAGCCAACGCTCTAAAGAATTTACAATTCATAGCCAATCCTCAAACTCTTCACATAATGTAGAATTCATCAATTAGCATAGAAGAGTCTCGAAAATATCAGAAATACGTGCAAACAAGGACCCACGGTCATGCTAGACACCGGTGTATAGACACTCGTCACCATGCCTATACATCGTACTCGATCATTTAACATTTAGCAATTAATAACACTCTAATCCTATTCCCTCAAGCCAAGGTTAGATCAAACACTTACCTCGGTCCAAAGAATAGCAATCAATCTCCAATACCGCCTTTCCTCTACAATCTGACTTCGAAACCATGGTATCTAGGCATAATTAATTCAATAATATCAATTAGGGCTCAACAACATAATCCCATAGCTTAGAAATGAGTTTTCTAGCATTCTTCCAAAAATCCAAAAATTCGACACCGGGCCACACTGGTCCAAACACGAGGCTCANTGAGTTGGTTTATTTTTATTACTGAAGTTACAGGGATTTTACTGCCGTTAGAGTAAGCTGTAGGTGCAGATTTAGTATGCATTTTCAGGATTTTTGTTAAA